ATAATAAATAGAGATCTTTTTAATTCCTTCATTAACTTTGTTGTTTCTTTAATTATGATCAACATGTTGGCTGTATTTTGTCTTCTCATACTAATTTTAGCTTTCACTTGCTGTTTTGCTAATTTTCTTTTTTAGATTTTAGATTTTCTGAGCTTTTAGTTACCAAAATCCCATGTTTKCAGCCTTTCGCTCTCTTTAGCTTCYACACTTTTGCTACTGTTAACAACCTATATTTTTAGTTTTGGGCCGGCCTCTTGCTACTTTTATTTAGCCTTTTGATACYTTCAGATAGTTTTTACTACTTTTAGCTACTACTAGACTCTTTTTGACWACCCGTAGTCTTTTGCTACTTTTAGTGAACCTTTTGATACTATTATTTTATATAGTTTTGAGGCTTTTAGTTGAGGTCCTTGCAAAATCAGACAGACTTGTGTGTATAGATTCACAGATCAGAGTACTGTTACAGAAACTGTTAATGCCGTCTGGCCTGACATGATTTCAGAGATGAGGCTGTTTATAGATGACCACACTCCAGTCTGGTAGGTGGCGGTAAATGCACCTTAAGATGGTTGCCAGCCGCCAATAAAATTTWAAAGAAGAAGAAGAAGAAAGTATTGGATCAGGAGCATCAAAATCAAGACAGGACTTATTAATCAGAACTTTGATAGTTCATTCTCAACTGGTTAGGGAAGGAAAAAATATTGTGTTTATGTGGGCACATAGAGGGGTTCAGGGGAATGAAAAGGCAGATCAGACTTATTGACTTAGCTATCTCATAATTATGACTTAGCTATCTCATAATTATGACTTAGCTATCTCATAATTATGAGATATCTCATAACTATGACTTAGCTATCTCATAATTATGACTTAGCTATCTCATAATTATGAGATCTCATAACTATGACTTAGCTATCTCATAATTATNTTAGTACCATTTTTCATAAAAAAAAGTGACCATGATACTATTGTTTTTTTTTTTTGTATTTTTCCTGTTTTATTACAATATTTTATTTTCTTTTTGAGAAATATTGCACTATAAAAGCTTTGTATAATACATTGTTTTCCTAGCACTTCAACTAAAAGACAGAAAAGTTTCCTGGTGGGTTAATAAAAACCCAATATACAGTGTTAGTACCATTTTTCATAAAAAAAAGTGACCATGCTGATATTRTTTTGACAGCCTTTCTATTTTTACAGGATTCAGTATTACATATGTAGGTTTCAAATTCCTTTGTAAACGACAAAACGTTACATGAGATTTTATATTTATGTATCCAAAATGTATCTAATTTTCATTTTCCATTGTATTGTCATTTGCAATATGTGCTCAGAAAACAGTTGGTCTATAAAAGTGGGTTGTTATACAACACATTCCAGAGTTTCATTTATGAAGTTTGGAAGAAAAAGTTAATTTTACTGACAATATTTTGCTTATATTGTTATTTCTTAGACCAAAGTCCTTACTTTCTTTCTTAAATCTCATGATAGATGTATATAAAATGGTTAATAGACAAATGGTTGATAAGTTTGTTTTTTTCAAGTAAAGCAAAGTAACATTTAGGTTTTCAWATCTTTAACATTATTCTGTTCTGTTTGTGGGTTTTCAAAAGCATGAAAAGACAACCTGCATAAAACTATAATAATCATGTTATACTTGTGATGCCAGATGTTGTTCTTAGTTGTTATTTTATGTTTAACCTTTGGGGTACCAAAGGGTACCAAACATGTACATTCTGCTAATCTTCTATTTTTGATTCAGTCAGTTTAAAAACTAATTTCTAAAAATTTGGCCAAGATTTTTATTTTTACCTTTTTTTTAGATTATTTCTAAAATTGCTTCCAAAAGGAGATGCACACCAACCATACACTTTTTACCCCAGGGCCCAATTTAGTCCCATTGACTCCCATTATAACCACATGTTTTTGATGCACTGTAATCCTCACATGATATAGTTCTTTTTACTTGAATACTTAAGAAATTAAAAAAAAAAAAGAAATTAAATGTGTGCTTATACATATCAGGTCACCAAAGGCCATATAGGACTTTTGCTTGTTTTTTTATAATTACCGTTTTTGATGTACTATAAACTCAGGCTTTTAAGAAGGGTTTGGTTGAGGGCATCAAGACTTTAAGTCAGCCCAGTTTATTCTTGGACTCRTCCTCTGGCTTYRTAAAATAAATTYRTATGACCCCTSTGCCTWRTAGGAAGCTTACAAAATCRGGGGGAGGGGGAAGGGGGGTTACGGACTGAAATTTGCATAGAGCAAAAAAGGAAGAAATTCTTGTTGGACCAAAGATTGGCAGGGCATCCTGAGGTGTCACCGGCTGGTAGAGATCATTGTAAACCAGAACAGATGCCTCTCTAAATGCTTGTGTTGACATGAAAATCTAGATATTTTCCCTGCAGTGTTTTCTGCCCTGTCTCACTCTCACACCTTTCAGCACTCTGTAATGACTCAGGTGTTTTCCAACCAGTCCTCCACTGCTTCCTGGTCCGTTCTAACGTTCCTGATTTTTCACCTCGAGCGGCTGTGCGTTTTTGTTATTTGCAGCCACTGATTTTATTCTGTAACTCCTCGTGCCAGTCTACATTTAAAACCCACCCATTTTTTTCTCTCTGTCTGACTCGTAGACAGGTTTCAATTCGTTTCACTTCCTCTTTCAGGCATCATTCTTCAAATGTGTCACTGTTTTCTTTTCTTATGGGGTTTGTTTTCACCCCGCGTAAGACTTGATCGGTTATTTTTAGATCAAGTCTGAAATAGAATTTTTATTTAAAGAAACTAAGAATAACCAGAATTAAAAATCTATTCCAGATATTTGTCTAAACCTTTCCTGGTAAAACATCATTTTGGATATATTTCTATTGTAATTAGTGTATTTCCACCAGCTGAGTAGTTCGGTAAGGATTTTTAAAAAGTACAAAAATAACTTTAAAAAACCCTTGATAATCTTTCATCACAACTGTTTTCAGAAAACGTTTAAATTCACTGATTTTATGAAAAGGTTTTCTCTTAATTTGATCTGCTCGTTCAGTTTCTTGTTGCTGCAAAGAGTTAATGCTGTGCTTTCAGAAATCCTGCAGGAAATCAGTTTCATTTGAAGGCAACTTATTTATCACTGAGTTTCCAACTGTGTGAGACTGAAATAAAGAACASTGAACCGGGAAACAGTTAGCTTTCTTCCATCCATTATCTATACCCGTTTCATCCTCTCAGGGTCACGGGGGTCACTATATGCAGCAGTCACAGTGCGGGGGGAGGGGGTACACCCTGGACAGGTCGCAAGTCCATCACAGGGACACTTAAGTTAGTTTTCAGTAGGTTTATATTGTTATAACAATTTTTTAAATGTCCAAGCTAATTTATTATAATAACTCATAAACTGATTTATGTTATATTGTCATTCTATATTTTAAGGATCAGTGTTTTATTTTGTTTTGTTTTTTTTTTAGTAATTTTATGTTTTTAGGTTCATTTAATGTTTTGTTCATTTGTGTTATGCATCAGTCTGTTTTTTCTACACCTTTCATTCCTGTGAGTTCATGCCTCACATGTACCTGACACTAAACCTGACCAGCACAATGCATCTTGTGGCTTCTGAGGACTGTGGTGGAACCCGACCGAGGGAAGTTATTTTATTTTATTTTTTACTTTGATATTTAAATGAGAAGGACGTTAATCCGGGTGTCATTCTCCCAGACCTAACGGTGAGTTCCTTCCTCCTGGAGGSAGTGACACCTGGCTGTGGTGAACATGTAACATTCAGCTTGACTTAAAGCAAAACTTTAGGCCAGGATTCTAGCACATGTGTCAGACTTAATTAAATTTTAAAATATTTTTTTTTAATTGCTAACAAAATAAACAGTCAATCACTCATTAAAAACCATTGATATTATCAACACAAGATGTTTCTTGACGTTGACACGTTATGGCTAGGTGGGAATTAAAATGAGCACAAAGCAAAGATTAAACTTGTGGGGCCACCAAGTTTCAGATGAATTCCACTGTATTGTATTAATCTGCTGTAGTGAGTTGTGCAAGTGTGCATACTGGCACTCTTCCAGGAAGCCCAAGTATGACTCATTAGACAATAACAACAGACAAGTTCAGCTGGTGTGAGCAAAAGAAGACATCAAATGAAACTTGAACCTGATTTTATAACTTGGTTTAAATACTTTGAGCAGTCACACCCAAAGGTTTTACAAATGACTTCGTTGATGTTTGCTTCTCTAATTTTATAACATTTGCACATTTTCCTAAATGTTCAACTTGAGAATACAATCTAAACACACGGCAGCAGAAAGATTTGTAACAATTTACTCCATCTATAAGGTTCACAACTTTTGATCCAGCTGTAAAATAATTCCTTTTTTTTTTTCAGAAAAATGAAAGAAAACAAAGCCCTTTGGTCCAAACAGTKGATTAAAAAGTATACAGTTTATGCAGTATTCACAGTTTTCTAGGTTTAAAATCAAACTCTTATGGTAAAAAGCTGTTGTATTTAAACATTTCCAGTCCCTCCGTTAGCCTGAGAAGAAGTGTGGTTGTTCTGTAAAGCAGTGGTTCCCAAACTTTTTATCTTCTGACCCACAAAATATCCACGGCAAAAACTTGTGACCCCAAATATTACTGGTCTGAGTACACAAACTTTGTTAATAACCCTAAAAACACAGGATTTTAACAATTTAAACAGCTTGTACACAAATATAAATACTTATTTATACTGATTTTGTGTTTTTGTAATAATTATAG